TTTTTTTTTTCATTTCCCCATTAAACTTATTCACCAACTTTTTTTTCTCATTTCTACATCATTGAACAAAATTCAACTCTTATCATCTCTACCTACTATAACTTCTGAGAAGTTCACAAAACTGAATCTTTATCAATGCTCTCTTAATATTATCTCAGAGACTCAGGCAAAATTTTATTTCATTTTAATAATCTGGCATGCTGCCTACATAATCTGTTATGTATGTGCACACGGATAGGAATCTGGCCAAATAAAGGCCATTATTAGAAATTCATCAGGAGAAAAACATGGCCAGCTAGCTGGTATTTACAGCTAGTATCCAAGTATTACACTAGCAGTCCAGACCAATAACATCCGCAGATACTATCCGACAAACCTTACCTTGCTGACACGACTGCACAACTTCAGTGGGTGAAAGTCGACTTCAAGCCAGTTGTAAAGTTCTTTCACTTCGGGAACAACATACTGCACTACATTGAACCTTACCTACAGGCAAAACAACAACAACGAAGTCAAAATAAATACAACGTTAACAAATAACTACGCTTTAAGGGTTTTACATTCAAGAACTTAATCAGACACTACATGTACCTTTTGATACAAGAGTTTTAAGTACATTAACTTGTTAAAATATTCTTAAGTCTTGGATAAATTCTCAATTTGTTAAAAATATTCTTATTACAGTGAAAATAACGACACTACACCATTTAACTGTTTCCATTTACAAATAAAGAGAGAAGAAAACACAAAACAAGAAAACAGACTAGTGTACCATCCTCAACTTATTCCACATTGCTAAAGCACAAATGAAGACTTGTAGTCCTTCACACCAACATGCAGGCCTACTGCTGAACTAAAACAAGTATCTCGGATCACAACTTCTATACTTTTGAACTGCTTTTAAGAGAAACCGGAGAACTGCCCAGAAGGCCATTTAATACAAACTATAAAATGAAGGATAAATCTAAGTTTTAGGCATGCATGCATGTGGAAGGTGTGAAGACAGCCACATCTAGCATTTGAGTTAAGCAAAAGGCATTTTTCATAACTACTGAAGTCTTTCCTGCCCAGTATTTGATATCTGATCTATCCCTATCCAAAAGGGTATTTAAAACCCCAAGAGAGGAATAAAACCTATGTTCTATTAAGTATTCCTCCCCTTAGTGTAGAGAAAAAATAAAGTTATAGTTCAAAACCTTTTTCAGAGCCCCTCTACAAGTTTCAAAACAAGTCAGCTCTTTTTTGGTTAATATAACAGACAATACTGAACATTAACCTTCACTTTATGCAAAGATTCAGGCCTTCCTTTATTGCCACTCTTACCAACAGTCCCTTTCATTAATCAGAAATTTCAACACTATACCGTAAGTCATATAATTAACAAGCTTTTTTATTTGGAACCTAATGCCTCACACTTGAGCACGGTGCTTCTAGAAAGACGCCAGGCTCCCGTGTTCAAAAGCTTCTCGCCCGGGCATCACTACCTACCATGTCATTAATGAGACTGCCCCTACCTACCATGTCATTAATGAGACTGCCCCGGGTAGGGGGGGCCTGAAGCCCCAGCAGGGTCGCCAGACGCCGCTGCTTCTCAACAATGATGCCGTCCATGTCCAGGAGGCGGGCGATATCCGTGCGCTCCGGAGTTATGGGAATCGACAGCGTGGCCAAAAGGACTCGAGTGGACATCCTGTTGACAAAAAAACACAAATGAGGAAATGCATGAGAACAGTTCTTCTACATATACACACTAATTCATAGGGATTGCATGGGAACAAGAGCAGTGATGCTGAAAAACTGTAAAAATGCAAACAGTAATAGAAAAGACGGCATCTGCGCAGGAAGAGTAGAGCCTGCAACGTTCTTCAGTACTCAGAAATTTTGATAATGTGTTCCTACTGCTTAGGTGTGTATGCATGTGTACATATACAAGTAAAATATATCTAAGACATACACACATATACAAACACTAAGATACTATGAAATGATTACAACAATAGAAAGCAGAGAGATTTCAGACCTAATTCATTTTGATTGCAACAATTTTTAAACATTCCTGAAAAAGTTGGATGTACTCTTTGATGTTACAGTGCGAATGACATTTTAACAAGAGCGCAAAAGTGAACAGGAATTTAAAAAGTTACACAGAATATTTTTTCCCACTAGACTCTGATTCTATAAAGGTTTGTAAATAAACTTGTGAGGTTAATACAGTCAATGATCCTGCATGTCTGAAGAGTCTTGCCAGTATCATACTTATCATCAAAACAAAGAACTCATACACTGCCGGATGTATCAACTTTCAGGAAAAGTTTATACTAGCCAAATTGCAAAGGAAACAAAACACAGGTACTTATTAACTTGCTTTGAACCCCAGACAGCTGCAGAAAATAAAGTTCAACTCAGGTGATCTTGACTTTTATTTGACTAACTCTGTAGCTTGGTAAAATGATCTTTTTTGCTCTAGATTTCTTTTGGGGACCCTTCAAACAAAGCTGCTCACAGTCAAGCATATGCCATCCCCTTCTTTCGGGGGTGCAATTCATTTTTGTATTAAAGAGGTTAAAAATAGAATCTATGATCACAGTAACTATCTTTCCCCACCTCTGCATCTCCTCTTGTGTAAGATTCTTCCGCATTTCTCTTGACAAGTGATACAATCGGTGAAGAGTAGATGCATGGAAAAGAGCATTCCCTGATTTCCAGAAAACAGTTGAAACTTTATGATAATAATTTGCCATCAACTGTGGTTTGGGTGGTTTCTTCGAGAGTGCGAACAGCCCATGAATATCCTCCACTGCTTTGAAAGCTTCCTAAAGAAAGAAACAGATATACTACTTCAAAGAAGTTATTTGCAACTGCCAAAAAAAAAAGTGAAGGCTTTTATAAGACTATAGCCCATAACTGCCTCAGAGTTGTGAACTTTAGCTTTGCCAGCTACACAAAATCAAATATTTCCTACCTACTAAATAAATTATTTGTATATACTGCCAATCTATTAATTCCACCTGCTGCAATTTTTTTAGTTAAAGCTTATTTAGTTATTTATTTACAGATTGTAAGCTAAAAAGAAGGGAAATCCTCAGAGTATCAGAAATTTTCCACCACTACCATTTTCCATATAAGCATATGTGACCAAAAATGGGCATAGTTTCCCCTAAAAATATATGGAAATCAAGAAATGTCTTATATATAGTTGCTTGCACATCTAAAAAGGGAATAATGCAACAGAGAAAGTTCTCTGGATCGGCAAAAACAGTAATTTTAACTAATTTGACATTAGGAAGGTTCCAAAAGAAAAGCACATCTTGGAAAGGCTTCCTGCAATAGTGCTCTCTCTGTGTAGGTACTAGGGCACTTCAAACAGCAGCACTGAGGCCCCAGCCCAACAGGCTTCAGTGTTTATCAGTTACTTCCAGGTGCCCCAGTTAATGGGAACGCAAAACATCAGAAGAGAGGACACCATAATTAACTTGCTCAGCTTGAACAAGCTTCAGCCCATTCACCTCTAAATGCTACCAGCAGACACTTGCTTTGAAATGCTGTGTGAAAAAGCAATTCCAGAAATATCAGACTTTAAATACTGAATATGCATGTAGTATCACCATCTAGATATATAACCTTTATTCTTCAGCTACTATCCTGTATTTTATCATGCAGAATGCAGCATGGAGCGTGCCCAGATGGAACAGGCTGTGGAGAAGCTGAAGATGACTGTGGTTACAGGAGCCAGGGCTCCTCGTACCTGCCACAGCTCCATGCTGATAGCGCTGTCCAGCTGCACCAGGCGGGTCTCCAGGTGCATGGACTGGCTCTCGGGGTTGTTGAGGTTGATGGCTGTGCTCTGGTTATGGTGACGCTGGATCTGCCCCAGGTGCATCCTCAGGTTATCGCAGAGCTTGCGGAACTCGGCCTTGCGCGTGTACTGCAGGCAGAACTTAAAAGCTGCAAAAACGAACGAGACAAACGAGGAATGTTAACGAGTGTCGAGTTCACTGTCATCCTAAATGGCTCTCAAGTATGCCAATTAGTATGTTTGAAGAATCTTATAGTCCAAAGGCATATAAAACGAGACAAAATCTAAACTTTGTGTATAATTAATAAGTGACAGTGCAGAGCACTAGCAACCTGACCTCAAAAAATAGAGATGCTTCTACAAAATTTAACCCCAGGCATGGACACTTTGCATCTCTAAAATGTTCTAAGCAGGGTTTCTTGTTTTTATTTTGAACTTAGTGCAAATAAAATTCAGAGGCTCAGAGAAATTCAAGCATTCAAGCTCTGTAAAACATGGGGGAAAACTCTCAAGCCATTTACTTATTTATGTATTAATATAATAAGCTCAACAGAGCTTTCAAAGGAATGGAGACGACACAGAAAAAAAGAAGAGAGCTTTGATCCCTTAATTTCCCTGTCAAAAATCTGTTTCCATTGGGTCACTGCCATCCAAAATATAAAGTTTCTGTATCAGTAACTGATAAAAGACAAACTCCTGGCACTGTAGGAGAGACTTAAACATAATAAGGCACCTAGAACTAATCGGTCACCTTTCTCTCCTAATGTACTTGCATAATTTGAGTCTAGCTAAAAATAAGTCTCTTTCTCAAAAACACACAGAGCCCTAAGTCACATCCACAAAGGAAAAGTTGTTCCATTTATCTCCTGTACTTAAACAAATTAAAAATAAACAACAAAAAATACCTATTCTTAATAATTCAATATTTGCAGAATAATGCCAGGAAGAATTAGAGTGACCATTTCCTACTACCTTCCAAATAATATTTTCTTAAGGTACTTCTATGCAAAAATTGATAACTTATGACACTTTTAGGGTACTCCTTTTATGTATGTTAGTTCTGGAATTTAATTGATACAGCATACATAAATGGAAAGCACAACTGCCTAGAGAAACACTAGACTAATTTTGATCAGTAAATAACAAACAGAGATGCAGCATTAGTAATTCTTAACTGTCAGTACAGCCAGGAAAATAACTTTTTCCTCAAATATTTTTGTTATAAGACGGAGAATCCCAGCGATTTTAAGGAACTTGTGCAATTTTAAGAATACTACACATACATACAGTTAAGAAATTAGCACATTTTCAACTCTGAGGTATAAAAAGGTAACTTAAAATGTTGTAGTTTTAAAATATGTAACATTGATAGTCCTGACTTTCATTACACTTTTGTTTTCATCTTCCCAACTTACCTTGCTGTGCAATATCATGGTACAGACGTTCCACTCTAGAATTATTTCGGAGAAGATCCAAACACTGTCTGTATGATTCCCACAGAAATTTAACCCAAGGTGTCAAAAGCAGTCGGTCAGTCCGATCCTGAGTGTCTTCCCCACTCACAGCACTCAGGAGAACACTAGAATTAAGAGGGAGAGGGAAACAAAAAATAGTATATTATTCCCCAGAATTCCAGTTTTTCAGGATCTAAGGGGAGACCAGAGGAATCTGAACATGTAACAAGAAATCTATTGATTATTTTCAAATTGGTCCCCCAGACTCTTCCTCTTAAGGATGCAAAATATCTTTGTTTTTTTTGTTTTTTTTGTTTTTTTTTTTTTTGCTAACTTGACACATACATGCTGCAGAGAGAACAGAGGCCTCAGGGGTCTGCATGTCCTTCGCATTAGCCAAAGGAAACTCATTCCAGGATTCTCTCCTTCCCTCTTCTACCGGGCAGCAGCTGACTGTGCCTCTGTTAGATCCCAGTATCATTATCCTCTCGGATATTTTCCTGCTTGCTGAAACTTCCTTCTTCAGCCACCTGCAGTGCTAGCATAGGGAGCTCATCTGAACTTGTTGACATGACACAGCGGAAATCTGATATTCTGTTGCCTCATGATTTGCACTTCTTCTAAAAAAAAAAAAAAAAAAAAAAAGAGACCCCTGTACTAGCACATATAAACAGTTCAACCCTCTGTCTTTTATTTGCAACCTTAACTCAGGTTGCCTTTTTTCTTACAAGACAAAACCATCCTCCACCATGACAGTTTCTTCTAATTTTATATCTTCACTAAATTTCTCTAGTTTCTATGCCAGGACTTTCCTTGAAAGATTTCACAGCAACACCTCTCCTCCTTCACCTCTCCTTTCATCACTGCATGTTGTCAGTCACTCATTAAGCAACACTTAATCTGCCAACTCAACTGAAACATCCGTTCTGGCACAGTAGCAACAGCTTTTTTTATTATTTTTTTTTCTCAGGTTATCTCTCTGGTATTCCTTGAATCTAAAAAACAAAACAAAACAAAAAAAAAACTAACAAAAAAATTTAATCTGATGGCATCTACCCTATGGCAAACTTGTGCTGATTTGTCTCCCTAATTTTTAAATCCATGTACTACTTCCTTCAAAAGTCATTCTAAAGTCCTAAAAGTTGCTATGACCAAGATAACAGATCAGCAGCTGTTGAGATCACTATTCACTCATATATAGAGGATGAGGAAAATGAATTCTCAGATGGTATCTTCAACATCTGTAAGAGAATCACTTCATACTATGCCTAAGATTTTCATCTGCTATCGTTTTCAAAACTCTAGGGTAGAAATTATTCTTCCACCCAATACAAAAAGAAAGCTCACTCTTCCCTCTACCTCAGATACCATGGTAATTACATGGTAATTTTCTAACTCTCCAAAACTATCCTCCTTTTATTCCAGTATCAACAAAGTATTGCTTTCACTTCCAGATCATGCCTAGCAAGGCTAATCCCAAGCCACTTCCTCAGAGAATTTGAGCACTACTTTTCCCAGAACTCTCTGCTTACGGATGAAGATCCCTTTGTTACATTTTTAACATCTTCCTGAGGTTTAATTTGTTTTGACATAGAGAGAATTTAATTTATCCCCTCCATTTCTTGACTCCTGAAGGATGTGGATAGCTATCTTCTTCCAAAATCAGTTGGAAAGGCTGAAAACATTACTTGCTCCCCACCTTTTCCTCCTTCTCTGCAGAAGGCACCACATAGCTGGTAGCTCTATCAGCTCATATAAACTCCATCAGTTAATGTGAGCATTCCCTAAACCAACAGATTCATTTGGAGGACATAAACACACACTTTGTGCTGACCTCATTTTGCCTGAAGCCAATTAGGGAGGTCTCCCACAAACCACTTTGACAACAGAATGGTGACTTCTAGCAGAGCAGAAGAAATCAGTAATTTGAGAGTGGTTACACCATAACCTGGCACTGCTTGCTTAAGCTATACGCCAAGTGAAGGTCAATATGCTTAGGGGGATATATTTACTGATCAGTCCTCCTTTGCACGCTTCCAAAGTTCCTCTGTATCCTCTCCTTAAATGCCTTTCCATTCAATTAACCGTAACACTCAGAACTTACTTTTTAGACAGTTTCTTCTATTGTCTCATCAATTACCTAAGCAAGTGTAAAATAGCATTACACATATTTGTTCCTAAAATAGTAGTATTTGTTCAGCATTCGATAATAAATAGTTTACAGTGACTAATTGTCCAATGCAAGTATTTCTATGGAGATTCAATTAGACGCTATAAATATTAAGGCCTGGTTCCCAGAACAGTTCACACCTATTTCTTTTTCTTTACTATAGTGGTTTTGCTTCACTATTTTCTCTTCAATTCAGGCTACCCTTTCTATTTTTGCCCTTCCTCCCCACCCAGATCAGTCGGTCTCTTCAACCTTATTCTGAGTTTCCTGAACAACCAATACTCCAGTTTCAGCTGCTATTCTTCCATTCTTATTACTTGTGCACTGTCATCCTATAAATTCACACTTCTGTCCTTCTGTTCTCAATCTTTCTACCTTTAGATATTCATCTTATCAACTGCTGGATCGAATGCTTTGACCAATCTTCAGGTCCTCTTAAAAAGATGCCTCCACCCATACAAGCAACTCTAAAAAGAAACTGGTCAAATAACCCTTACTCTTCCCTGCAAGCATGGATCCTTCCTGCTCGTATGCATCATCAGTACTCCCTGCACACGGACTCCTGGCTCTGTCCACCACCTTTTCCTCTTTTCTGGAATACAGAGGTTTCGCTGTTTCTTTCCCATTTACCTTCTGGTTTTGCTTTTTCTTTTAATTTTATTGGAAGCAAACCTATTTCTCAGCTCTGCCTCCTCCATTAGCTAGTGTCCCTGGTCCTGTTCCAGCAGCCACACATTTCTATGGGTCATACAGCAGTTCATCTTTTAGCCTAGCATGCAAAACTGAAACTATACACAGTCCTCTTCCATCATATTTTTATCCACAGTCACTTCCAGACCTGTATCAGAAAGCACTTTGTATCCTTGTACCCAAATAGCTCTTATTAGGTACCCTTTTAAGTATTCATCTGCATTTAAGACAGAAACAAAAAAAAAAGTAAGAATGTTTTGCTATGCAGGGCTTTTAAGAAGGCATCCTACCTTTCTGGAGTTTGAATGTTATCTAAATCTTCTATATCCAGTACCATCTGCTGTGATTCTTCCTTAGCTGCTTCTGTTTTTTCTTCAGCTAATTTTAAATAGGCTCGAACAACATCCTCTAAAGATTTGATGTTCACCTACAGCAAAGGCAGAACACTTAAAATAGTTCACCCCGCAACAGAGAGCAAATATTTAAAATGCAAATTCTATAAACGAAGGAACACCTAAAAAACAAATTCATTCTAACTCAAGACCAGTTAGCATTTTTTTTTATATATATCTTACCAGCTGACATTTACCATGCTGCAAGTAATAACTAAGTTTCAAGAGACGTACCTGCTGGCAAATGTTCTTGTACTGGTACAGCCCTTCTTTTGCCAGGTGACTCTTGCGGAGATCCACGCAGAGCTCTAGGTACTTGAGCATAATCGGTTCGTGAATCTTTTGCCATGTTCGGTGTTTTTTACTTTTCATAACATCATAGAGAACATCAAGGGCAGGCTGCTTTTTGCCAACCTCGAGAAATTCTGAAAGTAAAGTCTAATTAATAAACAGTAGACAATTCAAACCAAAGTCGACTAAATACTTTGATCCCTATCAGTGCTTGACTGGGCATCTCATACTTACTTGTCTGCATCCGATTTTAAAGATAGTTTCATCAATAAGGACAAAGAATACAAATCACGAGCCTTCCAGTACAATGCCTGCTAACACCATGCACATGGCCGTGTCTTTGGCCTAAAGTGCTGTCGGTGAGCCCTCAATCTTACTATCTGATTAAAAAAACCCAACACTCTGAAAAGTTGTTTTGAATTTTATTCTTATTAATTCGGACAGGCTTAGAGGTTCAGTTTACATAACAATTAAACTAACAGCTTTTTCATCCTAAAAGAGGCAGGATTTTTTTTACACCATCCTTGCTGCTGAAATCACCATCCTTTTTAGAGCCCTAAGCAGCTGCTGTTACTAACAAAATCTCTGAGCATCACAGCAACTCCCAACCATGACACACCACATGATTTCCTCAGTACAAACACTCTAAACCATCCAGGAGCAAATACAGAAGTGTCAAAGTTGTTACCAACATACAAGGCCCTGTACTAGGGGCACTCTTTAACTGTACAAGGGCAAAACAAGAGAATGTCAAGAACAGAAAATGGATTAAAAGAAAAGGAATAAAGAGAAAGGGAGAAGGAAAAGAAGATAAGAAAATGACTAAGAACAAAGAAAGAAATAATAAGAAAAAAAATAAAGGCAAAAGTATAACTAAAACATTCTTAAAAGAAGAGGTATGAAGTACTTTCCACAAAGTACTTTAGAAATGACTACATTCCTGAAGAAAGAATGCCAAAGTGGATAGAGGAGGGAAAGTAAGGGCCTGTGCACAGTGCTCACATGTGCAAACAGAGCTTCAAAAAGAGGAGGGACCCTGCTGTGCACTCATCATCCATGTTTAATACACATACATATATGCATATATTCTGTATATATATATATATACACACACACAATGAGAGTTTTAGGATTTGGAATGTTAGAACTGAAGCTAAGCTAGGCTAAAAGTTATAATCCAAAAATAGCAGTGGTATTTAAACCCCTTCACACATTTCACAATTAATTTATTTAAATAATGAGTTTGCATAGAATAAGCTTGCTCCTTTCTTGATGAAGTTTAGAGTTACCTTTGAAGACAAACAAGGTTACAATGTGACAGTGATCAGCAGGTTTTTTTTTTTTTAATTAGTCATCAAGAGAGTTTTAATGAAGCTATAGTCTATCTTATAATTTAGGCTGCTATTCCACTTCAGGACTGCTTTGAAAGCAATTACTGCTCAGCTTTACAATTTTTTTATTTATGAAAATAAACCTGAAGAGCAAGTTGAATTCTTGCAGCAAAGAAAGACTGCTCCAACCAAGATTCTTAATGGTTGATAACCAACTGGACAAAGCATAATATTAATTCATAGCCTTTCATACTTCTAATTAATTCTAGTCAAACAAGTTCTTGCCAGTAAGTAAAATAATTAAGGCTAATTTAACAAAGACTTTCATAAAAGCAGAAGATGAACCTGAAAAGTCAAATGCAGTATGTGTCCCTACACCTTAACAGCTGAAAGTGTAAGTTACAGAAAAACTGTAACAGACCAAATTTAAAGCGTTAGCTCCTGTATCTGAATGACCTTTTCTCCTTTCCCATCCTATTACAGAGGTCACAATGTATGTTAAAAGGTATCCATAAACATGAACTGAAACTGACTGGGCGTGAACTAGCTGATATGCACAAACAACTAATCTAGTGCCAAGCAAAGTACTGAAGAAAGCTAAAGTTTCAATGCAGAAAAAACGAAGTTGCTACAGAAGCTGAGATATGATAGTGTCTGCTACAAAGCAGGCTCCGTATCGCAACAGCAAAACACTGCCAGAAGTTGCATTTCGTCCTTCGTTACAAAACAATACAGATGTTAACAACAGCAACAGGTTGGTTTTGACCCACATCTGTTGTCTAGGAGCAAAACAAAAAATGTTTCTTAAA